TGAAAGATCTAAACTTTTTTTCAAAGCAATCGTACTGCTTTAACTGCATAAAGACGAAATATCAAACCGCGTAAGCGCCGCATCGACGTCTAACGCGTAAACATTGGTACGGAACCCATAGGAATGTAAACCAAAATTATACTTATTGTTAAAATCTCTATAAAATATCTGATAATTTGATGTGCATATGTCTAGTGATCATTTTTGACCGCCAAATGGCATTTTTTTTACTTTTTTCATTAGATCTCCGAAACCGCTAGACCTGCCTTTATGAAAATTTGATCGGTTCTTCACCTTGTCAATACAAGTAAAATGTTTTTTGAATTATTAAAATCGGACGCTCCGTTCTCTTAAAAACTGAGTTACCGTTTTCGGCACTTTTTGCCCCGTATCTTCGGAACGGCTAGACCTGACTTCGCCAAAAACTAATCAGCACGTCTCCTTATCAATACGAATCGAATGTTTTTTGAATTATTCAAATCGGTTGATCGGTGTTCCCGAAATCGTCGACGAAAATTTGTATTCGCACATACATACACACACGCACACACACACACACACACACACACACATACATACATCCATTTTTTCTAAGGTATGCCAAAATATTCAGAAACCTTTGAAACGTCGAGAAATGCAAAAATTTTCATTTTCGATTTTTTTGCGATTACTATAACTTGCCCTACGGGAAGTTAAAAAAGAGCATTTGGTCGTTAGTTTGCATAATATTAGTTGATTTTCGCGAAATTAAAAAAAACAAGTTCGCAATTATTAATATGAGAGGCTATTTTAAACCACCTTTGAAATTTTGTATTCGCCAATATTCTCATTCATAACGTATTGTTTTAAATAAGCATATTCATTGCATCAACATAAATCATTTTCAGATATCTGATGGATAGTTATAATTTCATTATCAAGTAATTGCAAAAATTTCATTTTAACCTATACTTTTTTCCTATCTAGGAAGAATCGAAAAAAAAATTCAAAACCGAAGAATCGCTTGTCGAAGGTTTCGTTCCGCTTGTATACAGTTTGACTCTTGCTCACTATTTCTTCTGTAATTCCGAAAATAATTTGAATTTGTTCCTGAAATTTTAGGGAAATATACTTAGCTAGTTTTGAAAGACATTTTTGCAAAAAAAACGATTTTTTTAAGCCTCTAAAGCAGGCTCTCCCTTTAATCTCCAACTCGATTCATGGAAGAATATTGTGAGAGATTTCCAATTGCCATTTGGCCCCACCGTGCCCTAAATGGGCTTATTTTGAATTGGAAAGGTATTTTTGATCTATATTTTTAAGTGAAAATTGATATCAGGTTATCCAGAGCGGGGAACTCCGTCTGCACGAGGCGGTACGCTTAACCGACATGGATTACAGTTGATGTAATAAATAAATCGAGGAACGTCATCTTCTGTCTATTTCAAATCGTATTTTGTACAAAATATTTTAATGCATATATAGATATTAAGCAAGATCATTTTCTCCTGCCGTAAATAATCATAATATATAATACACTATTATCGAGTTAATACAGTTTAGAATCGAATCAATATTTCATTTGAATTTTTTGGTAAGATGTCTGTGGTCAGTTTGAATATCTAGTATTAATGCCAGTATGTATTATTATTATTACATAAATTGTGTCATTTTGGTATAATATTAGCATTTTTTTAATTACTACTAATTACTAACTAATTAATATTAGTTAACTTACCATAGAGTAGTTATAGTAATGGGCCGAAAATCAAAAATGAAAATTTTCTAAAAATGCTAATTAGTTTTTGTAAAAGTCAGGTCCAGCCGTTACGGAGATACAGAGCAAAGAGTGCAGGAAATACAAATCGACTTTTTGAGAGAACGGAGTATCCGATTTGAATGATCTAAAAAACATTCAATTTGTAATGATTGGGAGAAGAGATGATTAGTTTTTGGCAAAAGCAGGTCCAACCATTTCGATACAGAGCTAAATGTGAAAAAATGGCAATTTTTGAGAGAACTAAGCGTCCGATTTGAATGATTCAAAGAACTTTCTGCTTGCTTTAACAAAATAATTGCTTTTGGAAGAAAAACTTTGTTTCAAAATATTTTTTTTTCAAAAAATTTTTTTTCTAAATAATTTTTTTTGCATATCGAAAATAGTTTAAATTTTATTTTTAATTCTGCCTAAAGTTCTAATATACTTTAAACAAATAATTTTAACTTTGCAATTCAGTTTATATAATTTTTATAAATATTAGACAATATTACAATATTTATAATAATCTATTTGAAAACATTTGCCATACACCATTAGTTTACAAATACTTTTCGCATATTACTTCAAAATCAATAAAAATCACGCATAGTTTGAGAATCTCTGGCCGGTGTGTACGAATACAAAGCGTGTGAGTCATATCGCCACTTGTTAAAAGAGAGTGAAATTTCTAACGAATTCTTCGAACGTTAACTGTTTTAACCTTTGCAAAGAAATAAATAACAGAATAATTCTAACAAATCCCCCAGAGCGATTTAAACTAAATCATCCATATTTATTGATTATGCTAATTGATTAACCAGTTATTGATAATCAGTAATATATATATTTATTTGAGTCACAACATTTGTACACAATCTCTTGTTTTATATAGAAGAATTTTGTAATCAAAAGATAGTTTTAATTAACTTTGATTAATATTTATGTTATTACACAGAATTCTGATTTGATCTAATATTTGATTAGAGAGAGATTTTCAGACTAATTAACATAAGATAGGAATTCAAATAATCAATAAATATTGTTACACTGATAACATGCATTTGTAGTATTAAAAGAATTATAATTTTGTATACAATTTTAGCACTAAATAAATAGAATATCAAGAATTAAAATAGAGTGTAAATTAATATATGGAAATTTTAAAGATAAAGAAGAATGTTTGAAACATTTACTCAAACCTTATAATAGCAAAAAACATTAATATATATTCAATCTGAATAGCATATAATACTCAATAAAAAATTGAGAAATTTTTACTCGAGATAAAAATGAATTAAGGATATGAACAAAATTCTAATTATTAGATAAAACAAATGTATGCCCAAATTTAATATCTTTGAAACTATCATTTTCAAGCTATCCTCGATATATGATGAGGTGTGGAAGAGCTTGCTCGACAAACATATACCCTGCATATTAAAGGTTATTGTTAACAATTTTAAATATTCAAAGTAAAAGTAATATTCACTGTTTAATCAATAGGTTATTCAATACCTTTGTATTGCAATTAAAATATAAAACTATAATAGAAAATTATATTATTTTACTTATTGCAATGTAATATAAAGTACTAAATCGAGCGACACATTCATCTTACACCTAGAACTGCAATAAGGCCTTACACATTGTTTTATTATATGTAGTTCTAATAAGAATTAATATGAATTAACCAGGACAAAAACTGATCGCTATTACTCTACTTTATATACATGATTGTGGTAATTGCAATATTGTTTGCACCTTTCGAGTTATATGTGATTCGAGTTATAGATGATTCATCATATTGGAGTTATATATGATTTTGAAATTCAGATATCTATAATCTAATCACTTCGAGTAATATGTATTTAATATGTTGTAATACAATAAACTTATAGCATTATGGATAGTATGTTGTATTAGATAATAAAATTAGCTCGATTAACAAAATTGATTAGTTTGAAAAAACTTCTAATTGAACTTTTAAACAGCATTGTACAATTGAAAACAAAGCATAAAGTATAAATAAATACTGGATTTCTTTGAATATTCTGTATATATACTCATTGTCAATAAATTATTATTAATATTGTATTGTCTATTTAAATTTAATAGAAAATCCAGATAAAACACTCAGGAATTGAGATGAATCATCGATGTTCTGTGCTACTGGAAGAAATAAGCAATAAGATAAAATGTTTAAGGCTAAACCCGCTTAAGAATTTGAATAAAGATATTTTATACATTCTTTGAGTCAATGTCTATTATTGTGATATCTAATTAAATCTAAATGAAATAAAAGATAAGATAGGATAAGGGATTGCAAATATTAAATGATAGAAAATGTAACATTTCCAAGAGATGTATAACGCAAAACCTATTAAAGAATTTGGACAAACATATTTTGTACATTGATTGTGTTAATGATTGTGTTATTGTAGTTAGAATCGGGAAAATGCACAATTTTCAAGAAATGTACAATGCTAAAGCTTTTTCAAAGAAACTGGAACTAATTATGTTTTTATATTGACTTACCCTGTTGTGTCTTTTCAATCAAGAAAAGTTAGGAAATTGAAAGTGAAAGTGAAAGTGAAGTCTAGACAACAAGAAAATTATCATCTAAAACAATCAAAAACAAATAAAACTGGGCAGAACACTATATGGAGTGCTATAAAGTTATTCAATGGGCTTCCGAAAGAAATGAAGATGACCAAAGAAGAGAATCGATTTAAAATATAGTTAAGTTTTGACAACATCAATTTACATTTGGTTTATCGTCTGCATAAGCAAGTTGTGTGCAGTCTCACAATGATCCATGTTTAGCTGCATTATCTTTAAATTTGCACATGTATATTATGCACATGCCTATTATATATATATATATATATATATACATATATATGTATATTTACATAATGACGTCATGCGCCCCTATTTAGTTTTGGATATTGAAGTTCTCATTATCAAAAATAATTTTTAAAGAAATTCTTTTTATTTACACTTACTGAATAATCTTTAGATTTGAATGCTTTGCAGTTTATATATATATATATATATATATATATATATATATATATATAAAGATGGATATATGTATCTTGAAAATAGGCCGATCGAAAAGCATTCCCTTAGAATTGATCTGTCAAACGTACATGTTTTGACAGCTTACACCATTTTGCTTTCGGGCTTATCATATCGATCCAAAGGTCGCAAAAGGCCCCAAAAATCTTTTAATTTATCATAAAATCACATTCCCCAGTACCTTCCAACGAAATTCTCCAAAACGGAACTTTTTCCAGCCGATTGTCCGCCCACGACCGCGATTTGCGGCAAATCCAATGACATGTGAACGCCCAGTTGTGTGAAAGCATCTTGCAATTTATTCACTATAGGAATTAGAGATTCCATTCCCTGATTCCCAGCCATTTTGAAGCCGGAAAATTTAAGTTTTTCCACCACTTCACTCAACACTTATTTTCACTCCGTTTCTCTGAAGACTACTGACAAATGATATTAGTGATTTTCAATATGGCGCTCGCTTCAATGCGCACGCGCTTCAGACCTGTGTGAAACACTTTCGATGCCGAGTAGAAAGTTCAGAATAAGTTGACTATAAAATTATAATTTGAAATTTTTTATCCCACCGCAATGAAATTAGTAATAAATGCTTGCAATTTGAAATCGAATATATTTTCTTATCAGTTATTTCTTTGGATTGACAATTTACGGTAAAAAATTCTATGAAACTATTTTTTTTTTTTATGGAAGAAAATTATCAATTTGACATCAAATACTCGCAATACAAATTTACTACAAACTGCACATTTACCTTCAAATAATTTCTATAGAAACAAAATCAGAATTCAATTTCACCTTTTACTTACCTTGCACCAGTGGGATCTCGCAGTAAAGGGCAGATGCATTCATTATCCCAGAAATTAAAGTTTGGCTGAATTGGAGCTAAGGGGAGGTCAACTATTATCTTGCACAGATGTTGTCCAGACACATTTGTTTTCGTGCATATCAACACCGATTAAACCACGTCAATTTACCAGAGTGCCCATCTTGTCCAGGCAAAGTTGTAAAAGCGAAGTTTTCTTCATTTGCCCAGATGTTAGTTTGCAACATGCTAAAATAAGAACGATGTTGAATGGAAAAATTGCAACATACTTACTGGTAAACGCCACCATGGTGTTGCAGCACATTCGCAAAATAGAAGAATTTATGGAGGTATGTTCCATGAAAGAGTCAGAGCAAATGAGGCCAATTAGAGAAAAAGTATAGTTAATGATAGAATACAAAAATACAAAAAAATATTTTCTGCTTATTTCTTGTTTTTGAACGTTTGTAACTTTTTTTCAAAAGTTGGACCATAATTTTGTAAAGACCTATTTACAAACACCATTGAAAAGCAAAGTTTTATTTGTTTTACTCCCAAATCACTACCATCAACATTTCAGTTTTCCACTTACTGTCTTAGAATGATTGTATTTGGAGGTACTCAATTATTTATGAAATCTCAGCAGGTTTGTTTTGCAATTTCTACTATTTCTTGTAAAATTCTACCCAAATTTTGGTAAATCTATAGGCTAAAATAAAAAAGTTCTTAACCTTAACAGCACTAAAAAAAATAATGTAATATTATTATAAGCAAGATATTACTATATCCAGAAACTCTGATCGTAAATTTATAAGAGTTTAACAAAAATTGCGTATTTTAATTCTGTATAGATTTTACACTTTGAAATGATATAGTTTTTTCTTATCATATAGACAATTAATTGTTTTTTAATATTCTAATTTAATTACAAAAACGATGTTTTTTAGTACAGCTTCAAAAAAATTGTTTTGTTTATTACAATCTAACATATAAAATGAATTTTGTAATTACTCTTTTACCATAATCGATTCAAGTGAGCTCTGCATCGGCAGTTAACGTGTTATTATGAATAACATATCTTTTGTGTTTTTATCTCTTTTTAACTGGAATGTTAGAAAGAGCGAGCGTCCTATCGGGATATATACACAATCAATGTGTCGATAACTTTAATTATCGCATATTTACTAAAAACATGAGTTTTTTCCTTATCATGGTATTGCATTGAATGGGTTCTAATCAATTTAAGGAATTTTAATTAAAATTTGGAGACAATAACAGTATTTGCGCCTTTTATGTACTTAGGAATCAATGAAATGACAGCTGCGCACTCTTTCAACGCAACGTGCATTTTAGAATGACGAACCGAACGCGCTAAATTCGAATTTGTTACAAAGGTTATAATATTTGATCAATAACGTCTTATATTGATTACGTACTACATAATTTATGGTCTCTTACTTGTGTTTCATACAAACAATTGTTATCACATATTTATGTAATCATTCTGATATATAATATAAAAATATTCTGAGGCAAACTGTGTACATAAAAATAATGATTAAACAAGCGTCAATTAAAATAATATTCTGACTTATTAATAATGAAGAACATTTGGCTACTATTCATTCTTTATGTATCAGCTTTCCATTGTATGTATTCATTAAAAAAAAACTAAACCAAGCATGTCTTTTTCCTGTAACACTATTCAATAACTAATTCAATTATTTATAAAATATTTATTCGCAAAATATAACAAATTTAATAAATCGGAGATATGTAACTTACTTACAAGTACAGTATAGAAATAGGCAATACTTTAATGATTTATGGAATATTATGTCTATTTTAACGGATGCAACAATTTACAAAAAGTAAGGCGTTGTTACTCTGGGAGGAATTACTCTATCAGCATCTGGCACGGCATGAAATAATTTAGCTTCTCTTTCTTCTGTTGTGTTGAATTTTAATATAGAGGCAACATTTCCACAGCGGTAGCAATAGTTTGGTGCAGACCATACGGTCACTAGTTTGTCATCAAACATATATTTAAAACCTGAAAATTTATATAATTTAATTTAATAGTCTTTAATTTTTACTTGTTCTTTTATAAGGTAGTAATTACATAATAAACAATAATAATAATGCACAGCGTGAAATTAATTTCAGAATATATGAATGGCTTTAATAAATTATACCATTTAAAGATCAACTCATTGATAAATAAATATATATTTATAGATATAAATTACAAACTAAAAAGTTTTTAAATGCATCAAATCTTACCTTCGTGTACTAACTGATGTGCTCTACAAATTAAACTCAAATCATTTATTCTCATAAAGTGGTCCACAACTTTAGCGCCAAAGAGCCAACCAGCACCTCTTGGGCTAACAGACCTAAAATTGATTATCAAAAGAATTTTTGAAATTATAATTAAATATGAACATATATTTATAAAATGCAATTAATTGTGCTAAAACATGTACCTCATATAAAGGTAATATAGCAAAAATGAAGGGTCAAAGTATAATTATGTCATACTTTGATAAAATGAAACATCTATCTAGTAAACAATATGGTTATATGTTAGTAATATACATTGTAACTCTAATTCACCCTTCAAATAACAAGTAAATATCTCTACTTTGGAGTTAATATATTTTTTCATAGAAATTTAATCAAAAACTCATTTACATACCATGTATCAATATCTTCAGGATCAGACCAAACCAAATCACAAAAGGCACCTTTATGTGGAATCTCTTGATTTCTTTCAATTGTACGAATTTGATCCAAAGTACGTATATCAGGACTTAAACCACCATGCACACATAAAATTCGTTCATCAATAATCTGAAAATATATATCATTATTACTGAACATAATGCTATATCAATTTGTCTTTAAAGAGATCTTTCTTCAATTAATTAATGTGGTTTAATATAACAGATTTTTTTAAATATACTAACCGCAGCTATTGTAAGTAAATCAAAAACTTTGCAACAATTCTTCCAGGGATTAGCATTACCATATTTACTTAAACATTCATCATAAAAACCATACACTTGAGTTATTTGCCTAGATTCATGATTTCCACGTAAAAGTGTAATGCGGTCTGGATATCTTGCCTAAAAGTAATAAAAGATAAAAGTTCAATCAATTATAGCTGTATTATAATCAATGTGTGTACATTCAAACCAACCATACAAAAATATAATTGGCCATATATTCGCAATGATTAGTTCAACATATCTCTATCATTTGAAAATCACTGCTTCAATCTAACCAATTTTTTCAATATTTATGAAGTGATGATTAGCCTTCAAATTAAAAAAAAAACTATCAAATCTACTTAATCAATTACCAGCAAACGTAATTCATGTTAACTTATACAAAGGATATTAGATTTCATAACTGCAGTAGTGACGCCCACTTTTGTATGAAAATATTGTTCAGGGTTAGATAAGAATTTTATTTTGACTGCACTTTCATGTGTGAAGGTATTCATATTCTCTGTTCATACTTTTGAATATTTATTTATATACTGCAACTCTTCATATAATATTAGTAATACATTGTACACTTAATACAGTAATACTGATCAATAAAACCCCATGAAAACATTTATTCAACTATAATCCACACTAAAATCAATTTTGAAACATGTTTTATCAGATATTATGAAGTATTTTTAAGCATATTCAAATGGTTGTGAGAAAAAATAAATCTAAATTTTTCATCTATACTATAATTGTAGTTCTTTAAGCATTGCAAAGTATACTCACTTTCAATGTCATTAGTCTTGTTAATGTTTCCAAACTATAATAACCACGATCAACAAAATCTCCCATAAAATATAATTCGTATCAGGAACCTGTCCACCACATCGAAATAATTCTTCTAAATCGTAAAACTAAAAAATAAAGCATAATTTAAACATTTAAAATAATCACCTTTCAGCTTTAATTAATCCATTTTTCTCAATTTTTTTATCAACTGACAACTGGTTTCATTCTGGCTATGAGTCATCAAAATATATATATATATATATATATATATATATATATATATATATATATATATATATTTGAAAGTATTAATATTGAATTAAATTTGATTAAAATTTTGAATGAGAAACATGAAGGGGTGAGATATTAGCTTCAAAACTACTTTATTTCAACTTTTTAATCAGTTTTAAACAATAAAAATGAATTTGTAGTTGTGTTTACAAGATTCGTTATAAGTGTTACAAATAAAATTGTGTTTGAAATACATAGTACTTGACAAATTCAATACCATACTGATACTAATAGATTATATTGGATTAAAAATACATTTTATTACCTTGAATTTATTTAATTTAAATTCAAGATAACATGTCAAACGTAATTTTTTTTAGGTTAGAATACCTGTCCGTGAATATCTCCACATATTGTAACTGGTGTCCTGACGGGTTGGATATTTGATTCCTCTAATAACAAACTACAAACTAAATCACACAATTTTTTTAATTCAGTCTCAGGCAGATATTTACAATTTTTAGCTATTTCAATCCACCTGTCAATATCTGCCATTTTGACTATTGAAAGGATTGAAAAGCAACTAGTGC